AGCTTTTAAGGTAAATCATTTTTAAAATATTCAGTTAAAAAACGGATCATTAAAAGTATAGTTTTTTCGTAAGTGAAGACACTTGAAGTATTATTCAATAATGCTATTTAGAAGTTGCTATCTGGTTTTTCATTTGGCTTCTACTCAGATTTTTAAAAAAAAGTTTATATGGGCCAAGGAAGTAAAAAAAAAAAATATGTAAGTACACCCATAGACAAACCGAGGATTTGGACTACAACACTGCACTGAATGATACTGTAAAACAAAACTTGGTATTTTTCTTGTGTCCTGAAGCGCTTAATTTTTAAATAACTACAGCTGTTCTAGTCCTATCGCCACCAAAAACCAAGGTGCACTGGCTGTAAGTCAACCTTCTGTAATTATGAAGAAAATATTCCTGATACCAGTATCTTACCAAATTGACATTTCAATTAGATGTTGATACTGCACTTATTATAATAAATAATTCTCACCTCCCCAACTTGACCTGCATCTGCCATATTGAAGATGTTAAAAACACTTGCCTTTCCGCTTTTGAAAAGCTTACCATAGCAGTGTGATAAAGTATATGCTGAAAACTTTCTTGAGAAGCGTGGTTAGTTTTGTGACTTTCAAATTAATTCGAATAAAATTCTTAATATCAGTCTGACAATCACTGGGGAATCGGTTCCAAGGGAGCCGACCACCAAGTCAAAATTTACCTTTCCCAGATGACAGACCACATTTACCCTCAGCCGAAAACAGCAGTAGCTTTTCACCTAAACAAGTCACTTAGATAAAAAGGTTTGCCAAATTCCAACGGACACTGAGGCTTTAGACAAAACAAGCCAAACACCCAAAAGAATTGGTTATGCCAACCCAGGTTTGCTGCCATTTCAGGGACGCCCCATCAGTAACCTTCCTCTACAGACTCAGTTGACCGTTCGTTTCTGATAACCCCTAACACAAGTAAAATTGCACGAAATTGATCGCTTTTCAAAGTGAAGTGGGAGGGGGAGTGCTGAGATGGCTGAGAATCGACGCGCTTTGCCCCTCTGAAATGCCTGTTTCCTCTTGACAAAAGAAATAAATAGAAGCAAAACTAAGATTCAGAAGACACACTCTCCGCTGCGTGCACCGGCCGAGCTTTTCAAAGACCCCCTAGCGAAGAAGCGGGTTGGAGGCTCACCTTCCATCTCGCCGGCGGGCTGGGCTCGGGTACCTGCCGCTCCACGTGCTCCGGCCGTCGCCCTGCGCCGCTCGCAGCTGGCGGGAGATTCCCGGCGCGGGGAGTCCCCGGGAGCGGGCGGCCGCGTCGGCGCAGATTGAAAGGGGCAGGAGCCCGCGACCCGCCGGTGCGCGGGGTTACAGCGGCGCTGGCTGGCGACGGCTTTAAAGGACGCTCATCACCGAGCGCCCCAGGTTTCTTGCCTCCAGTCGCCGTCCGAATGTCAACGCTGAGAACCCCCATAAGAAAGGCGCATCGGTAAACTATCTGAAGACATCTATTTTAAAAGAATAATGGATGTGAGAGTAATACCCCCAGGTGGGGCAGAGGGGACTGGATTGCTTCCTTGCAACTTTAAGTTCAAAGAAGCTTGTTTTCATTGAGCAAGATCTGGAACTTTTGGTCTAAATTCAGGGGTGATAGGAATACCATCAATGAGAAATCACTTCATTTGAAGTTTGTTTGGTTTTTTCTTCGGGTTTTTTTTTTATTTTATATGATAAAAAGTTCTTGGTTCACATTTTCAGAAACTTTTCACACAGTTCAAAAGGATTTTGGCACTTTTATCAACTCAGCTCTTTCATTTTCTGGAAGCACTTGTCTTGCTTTTCTTTTCCCTTCTGGGAACTGCTTGGTGTATTTACCACCACTCAAAATACCACACAGTCGCTTTATTTCTACTATCCTGCCTTCTTCCAAACGAGATGGCTTCCAAAAATACCTATGTAATCTATCAGAAAAGTAAAGAAAGTAGAGCCAAGGAGTGGGGGGATTATCAGTAGTAAAATTAACTCAGTAGTAAAATTAACTCAGAGATGTTAGGACACAGATGTACACTAAGCAACTCTTCTAAACATCCTTCCCACCTTACTGAGGTCAAGCACACATCTGCCTGTAGGGTGAGGAAAGTGGACATGGCTGCATAACAGCTTAATAGTTCTTCAAAAGCAGAACTGATGTCTAAGGGATAATGTTCAGGTGAATCTCTGCACAGACATCCAGTGTGCTGAATTGAAGCCCATTGCCATCTTGGGAAAGCCTAAATTGTTAGTACATACAAATGTATGTACAAATATTTAGGACTTTGTGCATCAGCAGATCATACAGAAGAAATCCACACTTATGAGTTAAAGTATGTGTGTTGTGATTTTTTAAATTTTAGTTTATTTTAAATAGCACTTTGGTCTAGCTATATATGCATGGATATATACATGGGATGTATGTGCATAATATGTTTAATGAATAAATAACTTACACAGGCTTTGTTTTAAAATCGTGGCACAATAGAAACACCTCTGTAGCTTGTATGGGATGGAGTTCTACAGGATAATATTAATTTCAGAGAAATTGTTCACTTGTTCTAATTTAAGTATTGAAAGGGGAAATTTGTTGTTTGTTAGTTTCTGAAAGCAAAAATAGCACATCAAAAGAAGCAGAAGAGGAACTGTAAAATTTCACAGGGATGGTATAAGGATGAATAGTTATTTGGTTATTAAAAATTTGTTCAAAAAATCCCTTCTATTATCTTGCATTACAATGTTCTTTATACTGAACAGTGGGATGTGTTACTATTGTATAAACAATCAGTTCAGAATTGAGCACTTCAGACTCTATACACTGACACAGGGAACAGATTTAATAGTAGATAGGAGAAATAATTCATGTTAACTGCTTCCCCCTTAAGGACTATAAATTCCACTCTTTAAGTGTAGACTTAAAGACACTTTAGTGTTATCCTTCCAAAAAAAAATACAACAGAGGCAGGGGTAACTTCATAGTGGAAAAAAACGACAAACGCTACCTCAATTGGGGATCAAGGTACCTCAATTGGGGATCAAGGTACAGGCATACTGACAGTATGTATCCTTGATATGATGTGATATGATTCTTTAGTCTTCTACACAAAACTCTGTAACCCCAGTCTAATAATGAGAAAAACTAATAGAGAGGCATTCTGCAAAGAGACTGACCAGTTAAGGTCAAGTTAAGGTCATCAAAGCTGTCATTCACTGTCATCAAAAGCATACATATCTGAGAAAACAGTCAAGAGAAACCTGATTACAAAATATAATATGGGATCCCAGATGGAATCCTGGGCTGAATAAGGAACTCTAAATATAGACATTATTGAATAGTAATGTGTCAATACTGATTCATTAACTGTGAGAAATTCACTGCTCTAAATGTAAGATGTCAGTAGTAAGGAAAACCAGATGAGAGTACATTAGAATACTACCTCTGTACATATTTTTCTATAAATCTAAAACTGGTCCAAAGTTAAAAAAAAAGTGTGTGTGTGTGTTTTTTTTTTTTAAAGAGTGAATGAATACCTTTAACGGAGAACTATTACTCATTTGGTTAAGTCTTCTCATAGTATTCATAAGAATTTACAAGGTTCAATCACTTATAGTAACTGGGAAGCTAATGAAACACTCGATTTATAAAGTGCTTTGACTAAAAATGGCATAACAAACTTATAGGGAATTGAAAATAATGCCTAAATCTGCCTTTGTTATCATCACCTTAAGAAAGGAACAGTTGAGACTAAACCATGAATCAAGACAGAGTAACTGACATGGGTGGATCTGACTCACCGCATCACATTTCAAGCCTTTATACTATGTAGGTAAAATTAACGGTGAGTAAAAATGAAATCAGTGACAAAGGTTGCTCCTGGACCATCTGAGATAGTCCAAGCACTGACTCGGCTCAAAGGAAATAAAACTGAAAACTCTAGCTCTCACCCAAAATAATCATTCTGCACCCTGTCTGAACCTTGAGCTCTCTATTCGCCAGCCTACTCAAAACCACGATTGAGGGTGTCCCGCTGCTAAGAAATAGACAACACGCAGGGCCTTTCAGCTCACCAAATTAGTAGCCAAGAAGGAGCCATGAAAGATGCGTGCATGATCTCTTCCGGAGCAATCTGATGAAGACTTAATGCCATTCATCCCCACAGGGAAATCAGATTTGAGAAACTAGTTTTCCACTGGTGCCAAATTTTGAAAGCAAGGTTACTTCACAGCCTTAGAAAAATTTGCATGGGGGTGGATTGGTGGAAGGATGGTCTATCAACATCATCAGATACTTTAAACTGAAAATGAAGATTCAATGGTCTCCAGACTGGGGAGATGGGGAGACCACCTCAATGGTGTACTAGCGGTTGTTCATTTTGTGTGTAAAAACGTGAACTTAGATAAAAATTTGGCTCAAAAGTTTAAAAAAGACTGTGCACAGTTTCAGACACAGTTCTTAAGAATAAAGGCTTAGGAAATTCCCACGCGGGACTGTTTCTTGTGAGCCGGAAGTGCTCACCATCTTCTCCCACCCTGAGGTCCTAATGCAATGGAATCCCCAGCTGCACACTTAGGACCCACAGTGTTCTTCTCACCGAACTACTCAGCCCCTAGACCGAGGAGGTGCCCGCAAGTCAAATGGGGAGTTTCCTTTTCTTTATTCCGCTTCTTTCCTGGGGTGACTGAGAACGAAGTCTCCCAGAGTTTGGGCAAAAATGGCGCCAGGAGGTAGGCGCGAAGCACCCGCACGTGGGGGACCACGTGCGCGGGGGGGCGGGCGCAGCGCCCGCCCCGCCCCCACGCGCGAGCCCCGCCACTCCGGAACACGCATGCGCTCTCTGGTGCTTCGGCGCCCGTGGTCGCTACTGTCCGGTAGGATTGCGGACCCCGTCGGTTTGCTCCGCTCTGTGGAGGAGAGATGGGGAGGCGTTCGGGGGGTCCTGAAATAGGAAGAACCCCCCCTCGACGCCTCCCACGACGCTAACCCCTGAGCCGTGATGCGAGCGTGGGCGCTAGTCTCCGCGGTGCTCTGGTGCCTCACTGGAGGTGGGGGTCCTCCCGTCCGCCCCCCACCGCCCCCACCGCTCCCCTTGTTAGGGTCCGACATCACCCGGTTGTCCCCCTGGCCTGCCTCCTGCGCTTCTCCCCACCCTGCCCCACTCTGGACCATGGCTCCCAAAAAAGTCCGTGTTTTCTTTTCTTCGCAGTTGGATGGCAACGTTTTTCCCAACGCTCTAAGAAAGGCTTCATTTATGGGCAGCCAGGACACCCAGGTGGGTAATCGGCACCTTCCTGGAAGACGCAGTCAGAAGTGGGGGGTGGGAGGCGGGAACCGGCCTGGGGTGGGCCGGCGGGAGGTGCCAGGGGGCCGGCCTGCTGAGGTTTTTCCCGCCGGGGAAAGGGAGCCAAATTGGAACTGACGGTCTCCAGTGTGCTGGGCTGCCCCCGAAGGTTGCCTCTTCATCCTTACGGCGGCCCTACCTCGCTTTAGTGGCATCACCGTGGAAGGCGCCGGGAAGGCGCTCGGATTGGATCCACAGCTCTCTCAACCTGCTGTCTCCGCAGCTTTGCAAAGCGAGACCCCCTGAGTAGAGTTGTTGCCCTGTTTGCAATGCCCTTATCCCTTCCGGTGTGGACTAGAAGAGCTACACATCGTTCTAGGCTCAACTCAATGCCCTTCATCTCTTTATGAAACAGCCCACATTTCCCCAAGGAAAAGCAGTCACCCAGCTGACTTCAGATGACTGGGCCAGTGCATAGCATTTGTCTTGTTGGGACTCTCCTTGTTTACAGCTCCCTCCCGCCGCCCCTGCCACCACCAACCCTTAGGACATCGATTTCTTTGTATGTTCAGAGCCTGATATCCAGGAGGTTCTAAAATTAATATTCTGTTGAATAGCATTGGTTCCTAGCAGACAATTGCTGCTTCCACCATATATGAACGGAATAAATAACTGCAGAAAAATCTGTCTAGTATGCTTCACACAGTCTTCATTATTATTCCCACCAAAGGATATTTAGAGTTAATAGCAAGTTTCCCTTAGAGATGACAGTGATCAACTTTAGTTTGCCATTGCGCCGGTTTTCAAAAAAAAAGTGTTGAAAGTGAGTTCTAAATCTATCCTTTAAAATGACCCAAAATAAACATTTTTATAAACAAAGCTTTTACATCACAAAACAATTGATAGTCTAAAAACTTACTGTAAAAAGCAAAAATGACTAGTATTTAAAGTGTCATGATGTGCTGATTTTTTAAATAGTCAGATCCAGAAAGAACTAGTTGAAATATTTTTGGAACAAAATGGTGGGAAGTGTAGTTTTTAATCTGGCTGTTCTGTTCTAGTTACACGTTATTTTATTTTATCACAGTGAAAATATATGTAAAATTACATCACAGTAGTCCAGTCCTTGTCTGTATGGACTTGAAACGTGCTAAAAAAGAAATAGTGGACCCCACCTACTTATGGATTGGGCCTAATGAAAAGGCATTAACAGGTAAATTATTTTGCTATCTTTTAAAATAATGAGGGCATTTTAGAAAAGCACTGTTACTTATTGGAATGAATAAATTGAAGTTTAATTTTAACTGCATTTTCACTTGCTCCATTAAATAAATTTTGTTATATTTTGGTCTGTTCCTTATTTGCAAAACAGAAGCGGTAGTTTTTGTACCCCACATTCCAGAGCTGTGTAAGTTCAGATGTTGGTATCCTTCCTTGTAAAACCTGTACTAGGAAGATGAAGCATCTAGTATATAATTTTTCATGTTGCTAATGTCTTTGAAACTAAGCATTATTAATTTGTCTTATGTGAAAAAATTGGGACAGTCTAATTTCCCCTCCTGCATTATTGGCATTAAATGAAATAAAATTAGATGTCAAGAAGTGAATTAAAGTCAAAATATACTTCAAATGTACTTAACCTCATGTGGTTTTAGACTTTGCTGGATTCTTGTAGTTAAAATCGTCATTTAATTTTTTTTAAAAGTTTGTATTTAATCCCACATTTACTAAATAATGTTTGAATTGTTATATGCAAGGTAATCAAGGAATTTACTATTCATGTCTAGGAAACAGTCACATAAATATAACTGACACAGGAAAATTGATGATAAAAGATTTTTTGGAGCCGCTCTCCGGATTTTACACATGTACTCTTTCTTATAAAACAGTCAAAGCAGAAACTCAAGAAGAAACAATTGTAAAGCAGAGATATGACTTTCTGATATTTGGTAAGAATATAGACCCATTGCAATTTAGACATTTAGTTTGATCAGAATTAATGGTATAGTTTCTTAATTTAGTGTGTGTAATCATTATATGAAACATTTTGGCATATTTATCCAAACTCTTAAATTGACATCAAGATAGTGTCGTAAAATATCTTCTTTCAGTTTCCTAATTCCCACTGTCCTGGTATGCAAGTATGATCTGCTTTATCACAATTTTGCCAGCAATTTAAAAAATATGTGTTTTTAATTCTGTAAAGGCAACTTAATCACCCTTTTTGCTGGACTGTGCTGACCGCAATGACTTTCTGGAAAATTAAGAGCCTCACCCTGAAACCTTTTCTTTTTCTTGATATTGTTAACTCATCTATTTAGTTAGCCCACAGAAACCATTCCCCTCTTGTACTGAGTATATATGATAAAAATAACTATTAAAATTACTAATTTTGTTTATTTTTGTGAGTACAACTGATAAAATACTTTATTAGGTTAAGTTCCTATGCTGATTTGTAATAGTGATAAGATTTAATATTACATGTGAATTGAAAATTAAGAAGAAATAAATACTAAGCTCGATTGTTTTCATTTTCACCTATTAAAAGCTTATCGGGAACCTGATTATTCATACCAGATGGCTGTACGTTTTACCACAAAGTCTTGTATAGGAAAATATAATGACCTGCTCTTTAGAGTCCTGAAGAAAATCCTGGATAATTTAATCTCTGATTTGTCATGCCATGTCATAGAACCATCATATAAATGCCATTTTGTTAAAGTTCCAAATCGTGGCCTTGTACATGAGTTATTTATAGCCTTTCAAGGTAATTTTTTAATTTCTTTATGAGTATAATCTTGAACCATGATATATTACAAAATCCATTACCATATTAATGTAAAATAGCTTACAAATAGTAGATCATAAATGTTAGTTAAGTACTAGAATACGTTGTTGTTAGCCTGGTTATGGTTATGGTTGTAAAGATTAACATATTATTTACCATCAAATATGACATAATGTTGCCTTCTTTCAGAAGTAAATTTTATAAATGTGAACTTTATGCAGCTAATATTTAATTTATAGAACTTTAAATTGTATTTTTAGGAACTTAATAAAAGGGAGGAACCAAACCAAATTTAGTTCCATTCATTTTAAAGTCTTGTAGTTACTTCCATTAGCCCCCAGATGGAGTGAAATCATAATGTATAAATTATTCAAATTGTGTACCTTACTTTATCACTAGAATTAGATAGATGGAACTCATGTGTGCATGGCTGGGTACTGTATTCACTATTGGGAGCTTATTGGAACATTTGGAACTGTAGAATTCCTTTGTGAATATATCATTTTTTTCCCTCTCTAGTTAATCCTTTTGCACCAGGGTGGAAAGGTACATGCAATGATTCTGTTGACTGTGAAGATATCACAAATCATAATATCCTGGAGGTGAGAATTTCAGTGTAAGGAGAGAGGTATCTTAATAACCAATAAAACTTTTTAAATTTTTTGTAAATACTTCATTTTATTAACTAGAAAATAGCTTCAAAATCTATTTCTCCATGTTGTATTTATCACCAATACATTTCTAAGCAAGTAGATTCAAATTATTCTTTAAAATAAACCTTAAATATAAAGTATTGTGGAGTTTTGTTTCAGTTTTTTTAACTGAAATTTTGAGAATCTTTACTATTTCATATGTTTTAGTTTGAAACGTACATTAGGAATATTAGGTAGCTCCCATATTATGAATTTTTCTCTGACAGGAAAAATCCCTGGTCTTTGCTCCCCAAATGGTAACTAAGAAGCTGCTTGAAGAATGCGCTCACATTCATGTCATCCTAGATTAAACCAATGGTTCTTCCAAAATTGTGTCTATACTGATCAGAATTGGTCTCTGTCTTCAGCTATCCTCAGAGGCTAAGGGCATAGTCTAAAAAAGCCCCTTCACTATCTTGGTCTAGGTCCTCAGCCCATACCCTTAATATTGTGCATGGTTTATGGGAAACTCGGTTTTAGATATTAAGTTCTATGCTAAAAAATATAAAATTTACATTATTAGCTGATAATGCTGATTTAGAGAAAAGTTTTAGTTTCTATTTTCCATGGTCCTTAACATAATGAACTCTCAACTTTTACATATAGAATAGATATGCTGCAACTATTTCTAAACAAGTGTTCTTTACCTTAATTTGCTTTATTTTGTACATATGAAGCATAATTGGTGAAGTCAAGACTAGACGAGTTTAATATTAACTAATTTAGTATCAACCAGTACTTACAGCTTTTTGAAAATTCACCTACTTGTAAATCATGACATGTTATACTACATTTCACTGGCTTTGATGTGGATGGAGAAATTGAGTTCACAGCTCAGTAATTGTGCTTCTCTTTGTTACTCTTAAATCTTAGGCAAGAAATCGAATAGAAGAATTTTTCCGGAGCCAAGCATATATTTACTACCATGACTTTAATAAAACTCTACCAGCTATGCATTTTGTAGACCACAGTTTTCAAGTTGTACGTATGGATAGCTGTCGTCCAGGCTTTGGAAAAAATGAAGGTCTACACAGTAATTGTGCTAGTTGTTGTGGTAAGTATGAAACGCAGATATCCAAATACTGTGGTAATGTAGTCAGGAGAATGGGTACTTATTTCAGTTTGGATAATCGAATAAAGCAGGTCTTTTACCCCTCCCCCCAAAAAACCCTGTTCTATTTTAGTGGAAGAGAAGTAAAAATTCAGTGCCCAAATTTCTAAATGTAATTATCTTTAGATATGTAAGTTCTTCTTAATGTACTCTTTTATATTACAAAGCACTAATGTTCTTACTTAAGCTACTATCCTGTGACGAGAGAGATCCTACTCAGAAAACAGAATTGGAAATAGCAACTGCAAAAGTATTGTCAGAAATCAGAACTCATCAATGGGGCACTGCAAAGACGATGTGAAATGTTGACATTAGCGGAAAGAATTCATAGGACTCCTACCTTTTAAATCATCAGATCGCAAAGTTTAAAACTCTTGTGTCATCTCCCACAATGTAATTGGTTGAACATTACTCATTACCAGTAAATGGCATGAGACTGAGGGCAGATTGGAGTTCAGTTCTTCCAACTGAAATTACAGTAACCTGTTCTGTGTGTTCTCTCTGCAGTGGTGTGCAGTCCTGGAATGTTTAGTCCTGATGTTGATGTCACGTGTCAGACCTGCGTTTCTGTCCATATCTATGGAGCTAAATCTTGCCAGTAGCCTTCAAATGAAAACCACAATACGAAGACAAGAGGGGAAAGCATTGTTACTGGCTTGTGGAGGTGGAGGACATAAGATGATTTGTTCACATCCCAGAGAATCATATAATTCCACTCAGTAGGATCAGTAAGATGACAACATGGGACTATGCACACTTTAGGAACTTTGAAAAGATCACTGACATGGCATTTCCAACAAGGTATTTTGTACAATAGCTCCAGTGTACAAAGGAAAGTATTAGTGGATGATTTTTAATGAGGTATGTTTTGTTTACAAGCTGAATTCCTTGCTGTGTACCTTATCTTCTTGGTAAGGTCAAGAAGATAGCAAAGTAAAATTTAATAAAAGCCATACTTTTCATACTGATTTATTTGAAATCACTCTTGTATGTTATAAAGGCATTAATGTTGCCCTTGTGATTAAAACCCAAAAAAGTCATTTGTTTTGATTCCTTTGCTTTTATTTTTAAATAATAGATTTTTGGGGGGGGTGTAGTTCTAGGGTTACAGAATAATTGAGCAGGTATTATTCAGGCTTCTAGATCCCCACTCCAGCCCACGTCCTCATCCCTCCCAGCTGCCCCTTTAGCTAGTCTTGCTGCATATGTTACAATGAACTATTTCTGACACATTTTAAACTGTAGTTCATAATAGTTCACATTAAAATTCATTCTCTGTGTGGTCCAGTTCTGTGGGCTTTGACAAGTGTATAATGAGGTGTCTCCCATCCCACTTTCCTACAGGATGGTTTTTCCACCCTAAAAGTCCCCTGTGCTTCATCTGTTCATCTCCCCTTATTGCAGAACCCTTGACAACCACTGATGTCTTCACTGTCTTTATAGTTTGGCCTTTTCCAAAATATCATGTGCGGAACCAGACAGTTTGTAGACTGTATGTAGACTTTTCAGACCGGCTTCTTTCACTTAGCAACATGCATTTAAGGTTCTGCATGTCTTTCGAGGCCTGGTAGATCACTTTTATTAATAAATAATACTCCATTATATGGACTGTGAAGGGCCTCTTCGGTTGCTTCCAGTTTTTAGTGATTATGAATGAAACTGCTGTAAACATCTATGTGCAGGTTTTTGTGTGGCCGTAAGTTTTGCTCAGTCACATCAACACAGAGGAGCATGACGGTTGAATTGTATGGTAAGAAACTGCTAAACCAGCTCCCAAATTGTTTTGTTTCTACCAACCATGACTGCGATCCTCGTGCTCCGCGTCCTTACTAATGTTTGTATTGTCAGCTTTTTAGGTATATAGTAGTGTTTCCGTGTTGTTTTAATTTGAAATTCCCTAGCGGCATCTTATGCTGAGTTTCTTCTCATCTGCTGAGTTGCCCTCTGTGTGTCAGCTTCGGCGGGGCTGTCTGTCTAGTGCTTCTGCCCATTTTGCATGATTGTTCTCTTATTGAGTTCTAATACTTATTTGTGTCTTTTAGATTCAAGTTCTTTATCAGATACATGTTTTGCAGATATTTTCTCTCATTTTGTGGTCTGTCTCATTGTTTTAAGAATGCCTTTTAATTTCATTAACATTCAACTTAACTAATTTTTTCTTGCATGTATCTTTTTCCCTTGGTTAGGCTGGCCAGAGGCCTATCACTTTTGATTACCTTTTCATAGAACAAGCTTTTGGTTTGACTGACTTACTTTATTGATTTCCTCCTTTCAATTTTATTGACTTCTGTCCTTAGTTTTTACTAGCTCTTTTCTTCTTGTTTTAGGTTTATGTTGCTCACTTTCCTCTAGTTTATGAAGGTCAAAGCTTAGAGTATTGATTGTTTATCTTTTTTTTCTAATGTGCATTCAATGCTATAAATTCCCCTCTAAATACTGCTTTTGCTGAATTCTATAGCTTAATTTTCATTGAATTAAAAACATTTTTGTAATTTCTCTTGAGAATGTCTGACCCATGTAGTATTTAGAAATACGTTACTTTCCAAACATTTTCCTTACTGTTCTTCTGTCTCTTGGGTCTGTCTCTAACTGACAGAGGTGTCTGGTTTTCAGCTCTCAGTGAGAATCCATGCTCCTCTCTGGTCCCGTCACTTCTTGCATAATTGTCACACGCCGTGTTGTGACGCCTTGTTGCTATCGTGAGTACACATCAGGGTGGTTATGTCTTGAAAATTCACCCCTCTATCACTATGTAATGCCCTTCCCCCTTTGTCCCTAATAATTTTCCTTGCTCAGAAATATGCTTTAAATATGCTTTTTAAGATTAATATAGCTACTCCCAGAATACCAGATTTTTAATGCAAATAGCACAAAATGATATGTGTATTTTTATCTTCATACATCAATAAAATCTCAACATCTTTGTAAAAGATTTATATCTAACAAGAATTCACATATTTTAAATCATATTTTATAAGCATTTATTACTAATGTCAGGCTTTATAATAATGCTAACAGTTGTTCTAATGTAAGTTAACTCACAATCTTGCTGTGGGCAAACTTCTCAGATTCTATACTTCATTCTTTCTTATTGGCTTAACATCTGCAAAGGTTGTACCAGTTCCTTTGGTTATGGATGTTGAATCATGAGAACATTTTAAAAATATAATTATTTATCCTTTCTCACCAAAACAAATGTATACCTCAAATCATTAATAATGTAAAAAGTTGGAGACTTTTTTTCTGTTCAGATTCACTGAACCTCAGACCACGAGAAAATAACTTCTTTTAGGCTAAGTTTTTCTTTTCCTCATTTCTCTAATATCTACTTTTTAAAAGAAAAATTGTGTGATACGGACTGTGTCAAATTCTTAATTAGTATTTTTAAAGACAAGAGAATATTAGAACATATATTCAGTTGTTATGTGTCATGGCTTTTGATAGGGAAATAGAGGCTTAAATTAAAGGAAGAAAAGTGAGAAGGAAAAAGAAAAAGAAACAGAAAACAAGGAGGAAGTCCAGGCCCAATCCTCTTAGCAGCCACTCGTCACTTATAAAGCATACATTTCTGATATTGCCCCCAAAGAGGTGAAAATTATTACAAAGCAGAGACTCTGAGATGTTACAATGATTTGTGATTTTCTAATTATATAAGCAAATACACAAAATTTCTGTGATGATTAAGGGGAAATATTGCTTAAAAGGCTCCCAAAAGGGGATGGATCACTAAAGAGGAGAGAGTACAGTCTAAGACTGGCATTCGAGACCTCCAAGTATCTGGTTTCAATTAATTTTCACAGTTGACTCCTGTTATTTCCACTTTGGGGGACTATTTGGGCTAGAGCTTAAAGATATTTCTTCTAGTGCCAAAAATCTTAGCATCTGACCCTTTTCTTCTAATCACACTCACTGTGCTGCCTCTAAGACAGACCTCTTAAGTCTCATTCCTCAGGTTTAGGGTGTCTCCCTTACTAATCCCACTGTCTTCAAAACTCTTCCTCCCATATAGGTCACTTTCTTCTTTACCTATATTGTCTCCTGCTACTAATTTTAGCACCTAATCACGCTTCTGTTATTTGCATTTTTGAGCCTCTTCCCTTTTTTATAAATTTAAGGGATTATTTTCAGGGATTCAAAAGTCTCTCTTTTAGCCCTGACTCTAGATAGATTAAGACTTCCTCATACTACTTTTGAATCCCCCATGTGGCAACACACAGAATAGCCTTAATTTTTTTTTGAGAGCGAGAGTTTTAATAGAGTGAGAGGAGATTTACAGAGAGAGCTGGCACAAGGAGGCATAGCTCCCCACTGGCACTGAGTCTCCATCCCACTGAAGTAACTTCAGGTGGCGAAATGCCACGAGCCAAAATTGTTACCCAATAAGGACTATTTGCCTATGAACTATTTTACTCAGGCTGCAATTTTTCTGGTTTGACACTGTGAATAAAGTAAACCTGTGTCTACTGTTTTGGAGCTCTTCCCTCTTGCCCCAAGCACCCTTATCTTCTATCGAGCGCACACTGCTTCATCAGGGTCTCGTGTTTCCATCTTTTTCCTGGTTGGGCTTCCTCCAAAGGCTGTGGTATGTACTCCAGCCTGCCTGGTAAACATCTCCATGTGGGTGTTTCTTAGGCATTTTGAATTGAACTTGGCCAACAATGAATTCAACATTTTCCCTAATTATCCTATCATTCCTCTCCTTAAGAATCTTGATTCATTGATGTCGATGGGGAGAGCTGTTGGGTTCAGTGAGCGGGGTCCTTGGGTTACCTCTGGGGAGAGAGCTCCCCTTCAGCGGCACACAGCAGGTTTCCCACGAGGCAAGGATATCTAGCTACCTCCAAAAGGGCAGGTTTATTGTATTAGGAGGAAAGGAACGAAAAGGACAAGCTCGGCACAGCAGGCAGAAAGAACCGCGTTTTTGAAAGTGCAAGACTTAAGAGACACCTGCATAGACTCAGGCAGGAGAGCCTCCTGAAGGGCTGTAACAAGCTGAAGTGATGAAATTGAGTTCACCTAGAGAAGTAAGCTGTTGTTTATACCCCTCTCGCCATTTATTTGGAAACTTGAGAATGTTTACTCCCTGACGCACTGATTTACACCCTTTTCCCAACCCCTCCCCTTGACCTAAGGTGAACTGTTTAACTATCAGAATATAGCAGGGGGAAAAGCATTATGACAATTAAATGTCATCTTCTTTATCTCATTGGACCAGAAATAAAGCACTGAAGTGGCAACAAAGTTCTGTCTTCTGCCTTATTCAGTGGGAACACAAGTGACAGCATCCCCACAGCGCTTCTGAAAAGGCTCACAGCGCCCCCTCTTTTTCTCAGTGTTGATGCACGTATGTAGTACTTGGAAGTCACATTCCACACGACTACCAAGAGTGTCACTGTTGAATGGAATTCTGTATTTTGGGCTGCTCAGTGTGTCTTCCAACACCAGTGGTGTTTGTTTGTTTGTTTGTTTAATTTTTTTATTTATACATACAAGCCAGAGGTGTATGGGTAGTGTGAAAGGATTCACCAGAGACAGAGTGAGGAACAGAGTAGGCAGATCGACGAAGTACACTGCTGAGAGGAGCAGCGGGGAGGAGAGGAGA